CTCGGGAGAAATACGATCGGGGGGGCTAATTCAAACCCTTCGGGTAAAATAAGAACAGCCCCCACATTCAAACCGTCCCTTTTCCCATTCGCAAGAACTTGTTTCAGTTGCATATCATAAGGAATTCGAACAACTCCTTCAAATACAGTATCAGGAAGTACCGCTTGTGGAACCTCGATATCCACGGGCTTATTAGCTAAATGTATCTTTATTCAAATGAGGTAAAATTTATACTCAAAATAGACAATATCATACTATGGAGAATCGTAATTTCTAACTGTCTATTCCATAATTTTTCTAATTAATTTTATATATATATATGTTTTGGATAGGCAAATTTGGTTACACCCAGCGTAATTATTGGAATTTTGAGCACTTAAATGGCAAAGAGAAATAATGTATTATTATTTATTTATTTAATTAATTATTTAATTATTGTATATATAATACAATAATTATAAATAAATATATGTATATTATGACACCTATTACAGAGACAGCGCGTGGAAGGGATCTACCTGAATAAATAAAAGCAATTTTGGAGTGGGAGTGGGGCCCACTCCACCTCACTCTTACCCTATGTTGCAATTTCTTCACGAATTTAGTTTTTTCTCTATGAAAAATCTCTGGTGGGGTCCACTTTGCAAGATCTTTGGTGGGCCCCACAGTTTCCTTCCTTTGCTCTTTATTATTATTATTATTATTTTTTTTTTCCTTTTTCGAATCGGCAGGAAAATAATAATAATAATAATAATAAATTAATTTTAATTACACGTTCTTGTCTGCCACGTGTTACTGTTCCCATGTGTTGTTCGTCAATCATAGTCTGTCAGCCAGTAATTGGATATCTGACGTGGATCGATCTCAATGGTTGGATTTGAGCATTCTTTTTCCTCCTCATTATTCTATTCGTGCAGCTCTCTTGCTTTTTCAAACAAAATAGTCCTAATAAAGATTAAAAATATATATATTAAATTATAAATACCTAAAGATTTTTATCCATTTACTTCCAGATTTTTAAAATTTTCAATTTTATATCAAATAATTATCTAAAATTTTAATTATTCATTGTCTTATTTAATTTAAATAGTGAATTTAATAAATATAAAATTAAATTTTTGTTGTACTATTAAACAATAAATGTAATTTTATCCAATAATTTAGTTTAAAAAATTAAATTACAAATGAAAAACTGATATTTCAAAAACTTATTAAATATTTTAAATATAAAATTAAAAGTTTAATAATTTATTAGGGAGAGAAATTTCAAAATTAAATATATTTAAACACGAATTTAAAAGTTTATAGCTGCCATTTGTACATAAATTTAGGATCTTATTAACCAATCTTTTCTCAATAAGGTCATCCAAGAATCATATTCACAGATTTCATTCCATTTACTTTCTGGGCCTACCTTATTTCTTTTCGAGTCCTCCCAGTTCTTAATATTTACATTGGTGGGCCCAGAATTGGTGAAAGGATAGATTGTCTAAATAGTTTAAAATTAAACCTCGAGTTTAGTATAAAATTTTCAAATAATTTAACAATTTGTTACTTTCAAACTTTTGAAATTACCATATAAATTTTTAATTAATTTGGGTCTAATATGATATATATAATTGAATAAAAACACGTTCGAGATTAGATTTAGTATGATAGACCAATGATTCACATCAAACGTGCTAGTCAATCAATAATTTACTAAGTATATCTATTGAAGTTAAGCCAAAAATCAATAAACGAAGGCCGTGCACGGCAAGCTTATAGAAAGAAATAATTTTTATATATCACACCAAATCGAATATTGTTGACAAATTTACGGTACCATTAACACTTTTTGGTGTAAAATCTCTTTATTAAAAAAATGTAAATAAGTTTGAAAAAAAAATAATTAGCTTGTTTGACAAAGTGGCAAAATTCACATTAATCAATTGGTGAGTGTGTTAGGGAGAAGAAAAGGAAGGGGTGAGGAGAAAAGCCAAAGTATTGACTTTAAGTCAAATCAATATTTATTCTTTTACGGTTTAAAAAAAGAACAATAAAAAATTAAATAGTAATAATAAGTTTATTTTATATGAATTTAAATTTATTATTGAAATGTAAGTAATTACTGATTTAATATTTTAATATAGACTAAAAGGATTATTGAAATGTAAGTAATTACTGATTTAATATTTTAATATAGACTAAAAGGATTTGACTCTAAAAAATAATGGAATAAACTTGTAATTTATTTTTAATATATTAAATATATATATATATATGATATAAAAATTAATTTAATGCCCCACTGAGTACTATGATTATTTTTAGGTATCAATTTGTCTAGAAACTATGTGTTTCTTAATCATTTGAGGACCAAAATCCGAGGTTCAAATGTTCTGTTTGTTTCAACTTTATGGGTTACGTCGGTGGCCGGTAGGTGATGTCCGGTCGGGGCCTCGCCGGAGCAGGAACTGGTCCGGCGGATCTGCGTGCCTGTTGACACAATCGCACTTTTAAAGGCAGCGGACTAGCGATTGTGCGGCACTCACTTTCCAACGACAAGTGAGCTAAGCCAATTTGTACTTGCGTCGCCTACGGCCAAGCGACGTATGATCGAGCCTCTAGCCTCGGTTTTAAAAGAAGGTTTTGGAAAACGAGGGTAGAGAGAGATTTTAGAAAGAGAGATTTTTGAAAGAGACGTATATAAGCAAGCAAGAGAGATAACAACGGCTTAGCATATATAACCTTGGGTAGGGAGAAGTTGACAACTAGTCATATCCCCCTATAGTACATTTTGAGACATTTCATGTCTAGCAGGCCTAGACATGATATTTTTGAGGCGTCATACGCCCTAGAACTATAGAAGTAAAAACACTAGAATGAAAAGACATGACAAGGGTTTGGCTTGCCATAGGCATGCGGCCATGGGCAACACGCCCTGGACGAGCATGACCGTGACACCTGTGACACATCATCATGCTGCTGGTATGATATCCAAAGCTGTTTCTTTTCCTTATTTTAAGGTAAAAGCAATTTTCGTTTAAATTCTTCACAAATATAATTGGAGCCTTGAAATTTTAGCTTTTGATAAATTCTCTTTGCCAGCGGTACTTTATTGATTGTCACCTTGGATTCTTTTTTTTTTTTTTTTTAATAATTTATGACATTTTTTTTTTATCTACTAAATTTGTATGTCGGGAAGAATGACTATGGAGTGTTTGTGCACACGGATTGAATTGAGTTTTATTAGTAAAATTCGTTAAATTCATTCTAAATTTTGAGTTGAATTTATAATCTAAGTAATTCAAATATAGTTCATGATTCAATCCTCTAATTTCAATCTAGATTCAGTACTAAAATTGTTTTTTTTAAATTATTTAAAAAAATTACACTTATTCACTTTACCTTTCCTATTAATAACTAGAATCTCATATTTTTTAAATTTAAAATATTTACTAGTCCCATAAATTACAAACATTAAACATTTTTAATAATTTTAGAGTAAAACATGCTTGAGTTGAATTCTAACCCTATTCTTGAGACCCGACCAAAATTTATATATATATATGAGAATGTTTGCTTAATCCACCACACCTAAATAGTGTGAAAGTTATCTTATTTATAATCAAATAAATTACAAGAATATAGAAAAAGTAATAAATTACAAATATCTAGCCTAATAAAATATCAAATATGATATATATGGTAAACTATAATATATATATATATATATATGAGTTATTCGGTCACGTAGAAAGAAAATATGAATATAATTTTAAGCATATATCGACTCACGAAAACAACATATATTTATTTATATATTTATTATTATTATTATTATTTTGTAGCTTTGGTGGCACATTGTAGTTTTACTTATTGATTTGGAGTATATAGTTCTTAATTTATTTCAAGCTAAATCATTAATTTTTAGAGATATTTATTTAAAAGAATAATTGAAGTATAAATAAAAGATAACTTCAAAATGCCATTGGGCCAACATTTGACGGAGAGATGGCTATCCAGTCTTACTGTTTGTGGAGCCCAACTATTTCAAAAAAGAAATGAACCATATTGATCGTTAACGTTAGCTGTCGAGTCGGAATTCGAACCTCTTTCTTATGGTGTTCGAACCTTTTTCTTAGATGATTTTACAACTACCCATGACACAAGCTCCTCCCATAAGTGACAACGATCGAACCAACAACCAATGGCTACAACCTACAAACTCACAACGTGTAAAGGTCTCTCCTTCATAAAACTATACTCGTGTTTGCAAATGAACATGTTTTTTCTCTTTCAATAAATTAAGTCATATTTATTGTTATTCTCTCTTCTTTTTATAGAGACCTTTTATTTCTTAAAAAAAAAATTTATCTATTTATCCATAGTTTAGTTAAGATAATTTACCTCAATATGATTTTATATTTTGGTAAAAGAAATAAATTTATGACTCATAAATTTAAAACTCAATTGATAAAAATTTGAATTAAAATATTAATTTGGTCTCTCCATTTTTATGTTTGGTTTATTTTTGTCTATGTATTTTTAAAAGGTTAATTTTTGTTCTACTTTTTAGGTGACAATTATGGCCCCTTCATTTTCATTTTTTTTATTTTAATAAAAATCAAAATAATTTTTTTAAAAAAAATACATGAACCAAAATAAACATTTTGAAAATATAATATTTAAAATGATTTGAAATAAAAAAAATATATTGACCAAAATAACTGTGAAAAATATAATTAACAAAAGAGTGTTTAAATCATGAACTTTCCTAAGTAATCAATTTAAACTCTTTATTAGAATTTCATTTTAAATTATTAATGGCATTTTTTTTTAAATAATATAAATAAATTAAAAATGTTTAAATGAAATAGACCATAACAATTTTTATTCAAATTTAATAGTTTTTTTTTTTTTTTTGACGTATTGTATAAATTTATTAAAAGCCTATTAAGTAAATAAATAAATAAATATATATAGAGAGAGATTAAAGAAATAAAGAAACAGAACAAGAGAGATCTTTGGAGCATGGATTGGAGACTTCATTTCCAGTCGGGCGGGTAAGTTCCACTGCTCGGCTTGCTTTATTCTCCACATTGCTCGAATGTCTTCCGCCATCATTTGAGTTTCTGATTCGTGAAAACCTCGTCCATGTATCAGATCTCACACGACTTTAGGTTTTAGAGTTAATTTCATCAACGAGAGGCGGGACGCCTGTTTCAATTGCTAGAGGATGATTCCATTCTCGAAGTGCTAATTCTTCAGCAAGGTCGGGAGTTCGTGTGAGATCTCTGATAACCGCTCCAAAGCCTGCATTCCGATCGAGCAAAGCTGCACCAGTGTTCAACATTGGGAGATTTCGAGCGTCAGGTGAGTAGCTTTTGCTTTTGTTTACTATTTCATCGCTAATGCTACCTGAATTCGTTCAGGTCCAAGCTCATTCTGTCTGTCTCTCTCTGAATTTAGTAGTCGATATCTTTGCAATTCTTCTGTACTTATAATTTCATATAGTAGCTTTTTTGTTTCTTAGTTTAGCTTTGATACTTATGCAAGTATTCTTGGTGCTCGAGAAAGATTAGAATAGATTCAGTATGTATCCATAGTTTTGTATCAATTATGTTAAATAAAACCTGAGGTTTACTTATTTAAAACTTGAAGTTTCTTTATTTAATTTTAAGAGTTTCTATTAGTTTGATTGTATAACTTTCTTTGATCATTTGATAAACATGTTGAATGGATTACTTCTTAGATGACCATATTGTAGAAAGTAGCACAGATTTAGTTGACCACTCTTTTTATAAGATAAGTTAAATATTTAAACTGTGAATCTGTTCAGAAATAGATCATCATCTCACTTTAAGCAAAATTCTTCAGCAATTCTTTCTTTGTTATTTTTTGCTTCATCAATTCTCTCTGGGTTATTTTTTGCATTTTTATTTTCTTCCAACAATTTCCAGTCAAAGATTTCCTCTCACGATTTCACTGGCTGATTATCCTTGCTTAGGGTCGAAAAACAACCCATTATCACAAAACTCTATAGAATCCTTCCGCCGTTCAATTCAACTTACAACCGTCAGAGTTATTGCGATCGAAAAACAGGTTTGGATTTACAATTCTCTGCTTAAATGCGCTTCGGCCTCTCTTGAATCGTTTTAGTCCTCCTTGTCTTGATTATTAAGCCTGCATTAGTTCTGTTTGCCGGATATTGATAATAATCTTTCTTGAGGTTTGGGTGTTGCGAATTTTCGTCTTGATTGATTTTCTTTTTGGATACTACGTCACAGGCCGTTAATCATTTTCTTTAATTCTGTGCGCTGTCTCATTATTGTTTTGTTGCTTCTGAATTATTCTGCTTGTATGTGCAGGTATTACAGCTCTGTGTTACTTTGAATTAATTTATGGCTTCAACTGTTCTTAATATGCCTAATAGTGTTCGAGGAATTGATGGTTTGGATTGCGGCTCCTATCTTGGGCTAAGACCTTCGCCAAGTTGAAATTTCCTCTGTGTTCTCCTTGTCTTTTCATTGTGAGAGTGGCGATGAGCGCGTTGCACATATGAAGAAGCTCAGATGGAGTGATGCAGAGTGGAAAGCTGCGGTCGTGGATGGCTGCGTTCCAGAAGCGCCTCCTGTGCCGCCAAAACCGTCATCGCCAGTCGGAACTCCTGTGATTCCTTTGCTGGTTAGTGTTGAAGATAAAACTGAATTTTTACGTAAATTAAAATTACAAGTAGGTTTTGCAGGAGAAATTAGTTTTAGTCTTTTAGAGATGACTACTATATAAACTTGGTGAAATTTGCAAATCATAGTTGTGTGAGCTACTTATGATGAATTTTCTATCAGCCGTCATCCACGTCGTAACTGAAGGTCCCCTGCACTCAGAGCATCATTTCAGGAAACCAACCTTTCACCTGCAATTTTTTATATCCCCTATTCCTTCATGAAGGTACGCACTTTGTAACCATATTACCTTTATTCATTTCTTGTCTATGATGGTATGCCGTTATTTCCATGGGCATGCGTTAGTTTTTAGGTAATGTAGGTCTAAAGATTAGGATTTGCAGGTGAGGAAACTAGATGTTTGTGCGGTGAGAAAGATTAGGATTTACCAATTACCATTTATCAGGGTGTAGGTATGTATATATGGTTACAGAGTTTATTTCGTGTTTTGCAGGAGTTATAACGAATGGAGTCTGTACTTCAATTATGCAAACAAGCTGTCGCCCAGGTAATTTTTCGAGATCGTTGTCTATTTAAATTCAACCCTTGAAAATGAATACTATAGATCTGTGGTCCATCTATTATGTACAGAGTACTGAAATTATACAAATATGTACAACTACTGAAATTATGAGAACATGCACAACTATCTTCCAATATTTAATGTTTGATGAAGCTTTGGACGCAATATCTATCACTCAAAAGTGTGAATAGATATGAAAATATTATTACTCAACTAGATACCCACTAATACGAAATATAAACTAACTACTTTAAATAGATTCTAGATACCCACTAATCTGAAATATAAACTAACTAAATCTTGATAATAAAATAAAATATACTACTATTCAAATTTAACAGAATATCTAAGATATATTATATATTTCCTAACTAATATATTCTTTAAGATTACAAAATATCATATATTCCATCTAATTCAAACTAGAAATAAGTTGCACTAAATTCTGGCCGCTTTCATGAGTTCCAAGATTAGTGTGTCACTTTACTTATAAATTTTGTAAGGAGATGAGTGGATTTTGCCTTTGTTGTGTGGAATACTATACACAGGCATTCCTAATTTACCTTACAAGTTTCCCCCCACTCATACACAACATCTTTCCATATTGTCCTATTACCAGAAATTTATTGGTTTCTTTTATGGCATACTTCGATTTGATCACTTGGCCCGTGCTACTGGAGCAGATGTTGTCAGTCCAATGACATGATGAATGGTAGGGTAGGATCAATTAGAAGGGATCTTGACGCTGAAGGCTTTTATCATGTCTTCATCGTCTCTTTCAAAACAAAGTAATTTGTCTTCGTCTATTTCACATTTTTCACCCCTTTTTTCTTTTCTTAGCCACTGAACTTGTAAATACAAACCCTGCAGCTAGTAAGATACCCGATGCTGTATTATCAAATCCTTCTTGAATATTGCTGAATTTATTTTCAGTACCTTATCACTTGAGAGTGTGAATATTGAACAGTATGCGGGATGTTTTTGAACTACTTCTTCCCAGTTTATGTATGCGTAGCCAATTGGCATGACTATGGCTTTTGATTCTGCTGCGGTTGCTCTCTTTTTCCCTCTCCTTCTTCTTCTTTTGTTTTTTTTTTTTTTTTTTGTTTTTGTTCTTTTTCTAATTCATGAATGGTCAAATTACTTCTGTTTTCATTACCAACTATGCTTTTCTCTCTTCCTTTAAACAGGTATGCAAGTTCATTGTATGGTCCATTTCGTGAAGCACTGGATTCAAATCCTCGTTTTGGAGACAAAAAGACAATGTAATTTGTTGTATTATCATGAACTGAGATTTTATTTGCTTTAGGTTCCCACTTAGCAAACTAATATTGCTTGCATAATAAAAGTCACCAGATGAATCCAGTTGACTATAGAGAGGCTTTGATTGAAACTCGTGAAGATGAATCTGAAGGAGCTGATATTCTTCTGGTCAGTTGTGTTTTTTGTATCCTTGGTAAAAATTTACTTGGTGGTAGAGTTTAATTTGGCTAAAGCTACTTCTAATTGTTGACATGTGAAACCCGGTCTACCCTGTTCGGATACCCTCAGGCTTCTCCGGAATAATTCTTCTTTTCTCATTGCAACATATCAGGTATTATTAACTAACCTTCTTTTTGTCAAATATTGTCTTTGTTCACTTATTTTCTTATGCATCCTCACATTCTACATCATGAAATTAAATATCAAATAAGATACCATACTTGCGCCTGATGCTGGGGACTACATGCCACCATGATTTAATAAAAGTTGTAATTTAAAATCCTTGATTTCTCTATCTTATTTTTCAAGATTGCATTTGGTATGATCTCACTTTTAGAATTTCTCGACACTGTCAAGATTGTATCATTATTGCAAGCTTGACGTCTGATACTTAACAGGATGGTCTTAGAGAAAGTGGAGGCTAATAAAACTTGTATGTGAATACAAATTGGAATCTGATTATATATGTGATTAATATACATTAAGTGTTTGTTTAAGAATGAGGTTTAAAAACTTGTTTTTGACTCAAAAAACTTTTGTCAGTGTACGAGGATCTAGTAATTACAATTACTAGTAGCAATTTTTTTTTTTTCATGTTCAAATGCACTGTTTCTCGAGCCATTATTAGTTCAGATTTACAACTCGTTTGCATTGTCATAACAGAAATGATAACAAATGAATAGAACATCATAATCTATCATCTATATACACATGTAATATTTTCAAATAATTTTATGTTTTTTATTAGGTTTCGGGCATATACTCCATTAACAAGGATGGAGGGGTTCTCAATATGATTGATGAAGAACAGGTCATGATAGAGTCTCTCACATAAATCCTCACATATTTTGCTCTACAGGCAGCTAAATGTTTGTGCGGTGAGAAAGGTGAGAATTTTAGGTCGTTAGAACTTCAATTGAGAGTTCTCTTTCTAATCAATCCTGTTGCATTACTAGAAATTCTGTTTTCATAATTTAATTCTATACTGAGTTTGTCAATGTGTTAGCTTCAGAGGCCACAATCGCAATTGATGATATGGATTCTGATTAAACCAAGCGGGCGTTCTATCTTCTTCAAAGGTAAAAACCACATTATATTCAAACTTTGGATTGAGTTTTGAATTTTAAGCTTTATACACTATTTTCAACTTACTGGTTGTGTTTTGGTATTGATTCGACATTTTCAAAATCAAAGAAATTTCGGGTTCGAATTCAATTGTTTTCTTAGGAAATATGAAAACCATTGTAAAAAAAATGGTAAGAGAATAAAGCCACATATAGGTTGTTATCGTACAAGGCTTTAGTAGTAATTCACGGATCAACCCTATCCTTCATCACTACTACCGTTGCTTTTTGAGAAGTTCGATTTAAGTTAAAAGGATACATGGTGTTATAATAACCATGCACCAGTACAAAATACGTTAAAAAAATCATTCAAAAATATATTGTGTAGCTGTAGCTGCAACGTCCGGAATCCTTTACAATAGGACGGGGGCGCAAGCAGCTTTCCCTTCAAAACATACCGGCCCCACGTACTACACTCCCAAAACTTGCCGGAGGTAATCACATCCCTGGAGATAACGGCATTTTAAGAGACACGGAAACTTGTTGCTTCTCATTCTCCATGCTCATACAGGTACCTCTCGGCGATGGTTGCATGAGTCGCAGCACCGATCGGTAGGACGTCTTCATCGATCATGAAGTAAGGGGAGTGACCTGTGTGGATGGACCCTAAAGTCTCGTTCCTGATTCCTACGTAATAGAACGCTGCAGGAACTAACTGCGTGTAGAAGGAAAAATCCTCGGCCCCCATCATTGGTCGGACCACCCTGAAATTAGGTGAACCATACAGATCAATCGCCACTTTCTTCACATGTTCATACATCTTTTCGTCGTTTACAGTTGGTGGGTATATGGTGTACTCTCTTTCGAAGAAGTCCACCATTGCCGAGCATCTGTAGACACTGGCCTGCTCCACAATTACCTGTAGGATAGGATCGTTCCCGACCACAAATTATTTTAGATTCGAAATTAATTTGAGATGATTTTCAAAACTGATTTTTTTAAAAATTTCTCCCAAAAAAGAAACACATTTTAAATTGAATTTTAGGATTTTTTTTTATTAAAAAAAAAACTTGGAAAAATGATTTTCTCAACTAAAAGTTATTTTTAAAAGCTATGAATTTTGAATAAATTGTTTAGAAACTTAAAAAATTACATGTTTAATAAGACAAGGAAGTCTTAACTTTTAATTTTGTACATTAATTAAAAAAATTAAAATTAATTGATTTGTAAGATAGAAATTTAAGTTTTATGTTTAAATAAATTCTAAATAGTTAATTTTGTGTGAATTAGAGACAAGATTTCTGATTTTAAAAGTTTATTTTAAGGACAAACCTCCTTTATTCTTTGAAGAACTTGGTAGAAACTTGAGTTGGAGTATGCTCTGAAGGTACCGCCAATAACAACGGTGTCCGGTATCATATCCAGATCCTTTCCTCCATTAAACCAAGTCACTGACACAACCTGAGTAGGCAAAAATTGCAACGTACGGACGATTTAATTTGGAAAAATTCAATAGCGGCAAAATCACAAAATAATAATAATAATAAAGTATCACCTGCGAGTCTAAAGGATTTGCTTCACGAGACACAATCCCCTGCAAGCTGATGACAGCGGCCGAGGCAGCTAGAACCGGGTCGACTGACCGGTGTGGCGAACCGGCTCGGCCCATCTTGCCAGTAATCACGGCCTTAAAGAAGCCGCAGCCGGCCAGAAGAGGACCGGGTCGAGACCCAATAGTGGCGGTGGGATATTCATGAGAAACATGAACTGCAAAAATGGCTTGAACGTCTCTTAAAGCCCCATCTCCGATCATTCTCTTTGCGCCATTGCCAGCCTCCTCAGCCGGCTGAAACAGCAGAATCACCGTCCCCTGTAAAACAGTAGAATGAATTTCGAATAAGAAATTACTACAGACAAAATTTAAAGCTTAAGATAACCGACTAAGTGGTTGACTGAGAGTCATTTTCAAGAAGCAACGTTCTGTTTTTCCTTTTGTTGTTTTAGATCGCTTTTATGAATGAATAGTGATCTAAAAATGAATTTAATTTTTGCAACCTTCAAATGGTGAGGTAAAATAAATAAATAAATAATGGATTTATAAGACAAAAGTGAAAAAAATACTTTGATTCTGGATATGTAGCTTTCTTTTAACCCACAACCAAGGGCCATTAAAAAACAGCCACATATTAAGGTCCCAATTGAATAATTTTTCGTTAAAAAGAAGTCTTCTGAAAGAAGGAAGTTAATGGGTCACATAAAGCCTAAGGTTAAAGTAAAGTGGTTTCTAAGTCGACACTTCTTATTTGTAACTATAACGAGTAGACTTCACGACTATATTAATTTGATGTATTTATTATGGTTAATTACTAATAAATTTCTGCAACTGTATAAAAGTCAATTAGCCTAATTGAACTAAAAAAAATTGCTTAATTTGTGTTTTTATTTTTGTGAAATTTATAGGGTAAGAGTTCATACCCGACATTATTTTAAAGTTATTTTATTTAGTATAACAAATGTCGGATATGAGTAATTGAACCTTTGACCTTACAAAAAAAAAAAAAAAAAAAAAA